ATTCCTCCCACTAACACCAATGATGGAGCACTATTCCTCCCACTAATATCAATTATGAGGCACTTTTCTCCCTACTAATGACCACAGGCACTATGTTTTTTTTTTTTTTTACTCCCACTGACCACCAACTCTGAGACACTGTGCACTCCCACTAATGCTGGGGCAATTTCTACTATCACCATCCACAGTCTGGCCCTCCTAAAGTTTAAGAGACAGTAACCTGGCACTTTATTTAGAAAGTTTGGAGACTTATGCTATATAGCACCACTTGAGTGTTAACTCCGAGTCTTTTGAGGCTGCTGACATCACATCCAAGATAGTGGGTCCCAGTAGCAGTTTCAGGAGTTTTGCATGAATTGGGCATAAAATGTGCTCTGAACATCATCTAAGTCACAACAATAGAAGAACACAGTCTGCTGAACATAATACTACACAAACATTAGAGGTTGCCATGGTTAATTGCACATAACATGTAAACATTCACAGTGCAGGGAGGAAAAAGTATGTGAGGCCCTAGCTTAATGACTTCTCCCAGAGCTAATTGGAGCCAGGAGTGAGCCAACCTTGACTCCAATCAGTGTGATGATATATTGTATGTGTTGCTGACAGCTGTCCTGCCCTTAAAAACACACACCTGTTTTGGGTTTACTGGTTTCAAGAAGCACTGTCTGATGTGAACCATGCCTCGCAGAAAAGAGCTCTCAGAAGACCTACGATCAAGAACTGTTGACTTGCATGAAGCTGGAAAGGGTTACAAAAGTATCTCCAAAAGCCTTGATGTTCATGTGTCCACGGTAAGACAGACTGTCTACAAATGGAGAAAGTTTAGCACTGTTGCTACTCTCCCTAGGCGTGGTTGTCCTGTAAAAATATAAAATAAATAGTGCAGCGCTGCACTATTTATATTTTATATTGTTTGTTTGAAGGTTGATGGTTTTCCTTTTTAGTGTATCAGCTGCTGTGTTGGTTAGCGCTCACTGAATCCCTCATTGTCCTGTAAAAATGACTGCAAGAGCACAGCTCAGAATGCTGCATGAGGTAAAAGAAGAATCCCAGAGTGTCAGCTAAAGACCTACAGAAATCTCTGGCACATGCTAACATTTTTGTTGACACATCTACAATAAGGAAAACAATTAAACAAGAATGGAGTACATGGGAGGACACCACGGAGGAAGCCATTGCTGTCCAAAAAGAAGATTGCAGCACCTTTGAAGTTTGCAAAAGAGCACCTGGATGTTCCACAGCACTACTGGCAGAATATACTGTGGACAGATGAAACCAAGATTGAGTTGTTTGGGAAGAACACACAACACTATGTGGGAGAAAAAAAGGCACAGCACACCAACATCAACACCTCATCCCCACTGTAAAACATGGCGGAGGGAGCATCATGGTTTGGGGCTGCTTTGCTGCCTCAGGCCTGGACGGATTGTTGTCATTGATGGGAAAATGAATTCCAGAGTTTATCCAAACATTTTGCAGGAAAACGTACGACCATCTGTCCGCCAACTGAGACTCCGCAGAGGATGGGTGATGCAACAGGACAATGACCCAAAGCATGCAAGTAATTCAAACAAAACAATGGCTGCAACAGCACAGAATACGCCTTCTGGAGTGGCCCAGTCAGAGTCCTGACCTCAACCCGATTGAAATGCTGTGGCATGACCTTAGGAGAGCGATTCACACCAGAAATCCCAAGAATATTGCTACACTGAAAACAGTTTTGTGAAGAGAGTGGTCCAAAATGACTCCAGATCGTTGTGCAGGTCTGATCTGCAACTACAGGAAACGTTTGGTTGAGGTTATTGCTGCCAAAGGAGGGTCAACCAGTTATTAAGTCCAAAGGTTCACATACTTTTTCCTCCCTGCACTGTGAATGTTTACATGTTATGTGCAATTAAACCATGGCAACATCTAATGTTTGTGTAGTATTATGTTCAGCAGACTGTGTTCTGCTATTGTTGTGACTTAGATGACGTTCAGAGCACATTTTATGCCCAATTCATGCAAAACTCCACGTAATCCCAAGGGGTTCACATACTTTTTCTTGCAACTGTATGTGTGCAATTCCTATGAAACTTGACCTAGACTCTGGTCCCATCCTTGTATTAGGATATTTCCATGTATTCGCTCCCTTTAAATAAACTGTACTCCTCTTAATCATCTGTGTTTGGATTTCCAGTAAGTGACATATTCTTTGCATTAGCTCTTGTCCTCCTCTGCTCTCCAGAAACCCTGGGGTCAGTACAGTACACAAGTCAATAAGTACAAGACTGGATGCTGGTGTTAGTGCACAGATCTCACCTTCCAGGTTATTTATAACCAACAGGAATAGAGAAGACCCAGGAGACCGGCCTCTTCTACAGCTGACAAGGCTCTCCTTACCAAAAAACCTGCTGCTTAGAACCTGCCGGGCCTTGTACTTGCACCCCCGGCATCCCTCCCCCCTTACTGCTGACTCATCACAATCCGGTAATATTAATGAGCAATAAAAAAGATTTTCTTATTTCAGAGGAGCTGCCACAGGGAAATGTGCTGGCAGCATCCACTCCATTTACTTTCATTTGTTCAGGCCTGGCTGCTTTATTTCTTTTCATAAACTCTGTCAGAGGTTCATAATGTATCACTCAAAACCCATAAAATGCTGCTTATAGCAGGATCCTGCAATCAAGTGACAATTTAAAGCAAGGCTCAACTATATGAAAGTCTTGTGTGTTCCTTTGCATGCGGGGAAGTTTGGGACCTCCCCCCCTCTTCCATCTCGCCAATTGCTCACGTAACAAGTGAGTTAAATGAAGTTGGTTTCATTTTAAAGGATATTTCAGGTTGTATTTTTTGCAGTAGTGTTGGGATGACTATAACGATCTTTATGAGCTCCTACTGTCTGCTGACTACAATGAGTATTAAGCCCCTAACACCTTCCTGGACTCTGTTAGTAATATCAATCTGCAGCTGGCTGAAAAATAAAACCCAATTAAGACTACTAAACTAATTTAATGCAAAGAATATTGATGTGTAATAATCCACAATTAAACTTTATTGCTTTAGTAAATAAGTGCACACGCGCTAGTTACAGCTGAAAATTGAAAATTAAAGTAGAAGGAATAGTTAAATAGAAACTGACATTTAAATATTATATTCCCTTCTCTTTTCGCTCCGTGGCCCTGCATGTCCTATCACAAACTGCTGCGTTAAAAAGCTTTTTCATAGTCTTTTTTACATACGATTACATGACTGCAAAGCTCAGGGTCCTCTCTGTAATGTAGAAGGCTGACATAGGGGATTTTTGGACAGTGCTTTGACTTCATCATCAACTGGTATTGTCAGCATTGACCATCGTCCACTGCTTTATCCATTGTCCAAGGAGGAGAATAGTCTCCTCCCACTAGGCGCAACAACTACGCCAGAAGCGAGAAGACCTGGAGTCATGTGATCACATGTAATTAATATGTTATTTAGCCCCCTTCCTTCTACTTTCATGCCCAACTCTGTATATGTGTCTGTATGTTATGCTAAGTTTGCACTTGCAGTTCAAAGGATGGTAAAAACACAAATATGAGCCCTTAAAATGGAGTAAAGTCTGCAGTAATTTCTCTTTTTAGGGGTCCCCAGGTGGGTTATGCCATAATGCGCTAGAATGCACAGCATATTAGTACATTATGACAGACCTACCTGTCAAACCAAGCCCTCCAGCCCTGCACTGTAAAAGATCCGGCGGGTCCCAGGCATTTCCATCTTCGCCTGATCTTTCCTTCCGGGTTTTGTGCCTTTGGCCGCTTGATTGGCCGGGCTGCTATGATGTTACTCCTACGAATGGGCACAGAAGTCACATAGCAGCAGCATAAATCGGGGCCATAAATGTTCACTGAGCTGTGCATATGCATCTCAGTGTACATGACAGTTGACAGGCAGGAGGAAGCATTTATAACAGAGGAGAGTGATAGAGTCTCTTCTATCATACGTATCCTGTCTGTCAGCAATCTTTTTAAAAACAAAGTTTACTACCACTTACGATGCAAAGGTAGTGGACGATGTGTACATGTGCAGCAGTGGTGATGCTTTGCATTTCAGTGTGTCAAAAATCATTCTTCCATCACGTATGTTGGGCAGAACCACCTGCCGAATGTGACCTGTTAAACTGAGTGGGACCCCACACCGCAACCACCCCGCAGTGGGTGCAGGTTTTTTTACGGGTTAAAAACAGGCGGTGAGGAAGTGATCTAATGCCTCCTCACCACCTGTCAAGTGCTCTTTGAAAATCTCGCTCTTCAGAGGGAAGCACTAGTGTAAATGGACCATTATGTTTTTTCTTTTTACTTTTAATTTTTTAGAGGTCTTTTGGCCAGTCACTTGACATGATGGATACTCTTCTTCTTTGCCTATTTCTACTGCACTAGGCAGTCCGCAATGAGGTAGAGAATGTCACTAATTTGATAATGTTAATGCTACTCTCTAAATGCAATGTACCCATGGTGATGCCTCAAAGGGCAGGTCCATGACAACCTGTACTCACAGCCTGTCTTCAGTCTTCTGGGATTAGGTTGACAATAAGTTTCATTCAACCTGGAAGACTGAGGACATCTTGCGTGGGCATGGTATTACTGCCAGGGGCCAGGAGCATACAGACAACACAACCTACCTGCCAAGGCTTCAGTTTTGCATCCAAGCATTGCTACGGAGCACCAATCCATCCATAGAAACATAGAAAAGTGATGGCAGAAAAAGACAGAGTGGTCCATTGAGCCATGCCCTTTTCTGAGTGATCTGATGATCTGGAAACCATTCTGCTTACCTGTTTGTAATAAATAAATGAGCACAAAATAGGCTCCTTGTTGTTTCTTCCATACCAGACGCCTGATGTATTAATGTGTCAGTGCTATCAACATTCTCACAGCTACCAGTCAGCTTTAAGCCTACTTTAGGAGAGAGAGCAAAGGGAAAGAGAAAGCAAGTGGCACCGCTAACATTTAGCAGGCAGATATTCCCAATGAACATCCTATGAGCTGTGTTCACTGTGGCTAAAATGCATTACAGAAAACTCAGGTTAACTAGCAGGCAGGGGTGGACTGACAACTCATGGGGCCCCCAAGCAATAGGGGATCATGGGGCCCCTGTGTCCTTGCCCAAACTCAAAAAAGCCTATGAAGAAAGTACCAGGGGCATCTCCTGGGACCCCCTACTGACCCCGGGCCCTCGGGCATTACCCGAGTTTCCAAATGGTCAGTCCGCCCCTGCTAGCAGGTATCTGAAATCTGTAAATTAATATTCCTGGGTTCAGGTCCCTGTGCCAAGGAAACATTTATGTACATTCTCCATTTTACAGCCAGAAGAATGATAGTTTTCAACTCAGTATCAGTATGGTTCAGATCATGTAATCACAATGAGAGCTACTTCTCTACAAAAGTACAGCACCATCTTGTTCAGGCATCATCCAGGGTTAGCACTTACGTCTTGAGTTGAGATACATGTTCAGAGATGGTACATTTAATATGGAGTTTTATTGGTTCTAAAGCCTAAACATTGTTTACCATAATGCATTCCCTGCAATAATGTAAAAAATGTTTAGGTAGCAGTATGTCCCCTTACCTCCCCAATAATTGATCCAGCACTGTACCCATCTATAGCAGGTCTCTCTTCCTTCTCTCTCTCACGGGCTTGGCTGAGAGCAGAGGGAGCCATTGGCTACCACTGCTGTCAGTCAAATCCTGTGACAAGAGAGCAGGGGACAGCCGTGCTGTCTGTGTCTATGGAAGTGGCTTCCTATGGTGGCACACCAAGAAGAGAAGGAGCCAGGAGTGCTGGCGGGGGACCCAAGAAGAGGAGGTCCTTGGCTGCTCTGTCCAATTCCATTGCACAGAGCAGTTATGTATAACAACTTTCTTTTTTTTTGTTTGTTTCTTTTAAAGAAGACTTCACTTTAAACTCAGGGATACTTACCTTTCCTTCAGTGGTCCAACATCATTTTCTACTCAGCTTTAGCCAGACACTGAACTGCGGCTGCCTTCATTGCCTGGAACATGTTGATGTCACTCCTGCACATGTGCAGGAGGGCAGTCATCCAGGCACACATCCTTCAGCTTGGTGTACATTCCAAAGCACGCTGTGAGCAGGAAGGTAGGTTTCTTTTATTGCAGAATAGACATTGCATTATAGCTGATAGCTTTTAAAAGCCAGACTTTAATTTTGCGATAAGTAAATTCTGGTGATCAAAAATGTCTGATACAGATAAGCCTCCTACTGCAGCCTCTCACCTTGTTACAAAGTTAGGCAGTCACCTGTGGTGGAAGGAAATAAAATAGCTTGATTCCCCCATCAACACTGACTGTGTTGATGGGGGAATGCCTCACACAGCAATATTGTGTTCTGCTAGTGGGGGGGGCATGGGGAGCCTTCCCAGCCAGCAGAACACAATGATTACTGCTAGTAGCTTTAACGTCCAGAAGTAATCAAATGTAAAAAATCCCAACAGGCTGGTTGTACCCAATTAAATCAATGGATCGACTTGGGTACAAACATGCCCATACATGGATTGAATCTCAGCCTGTACCTGCTGAAATGGCTGGATTTTGACCCATGTATGGCCGGCTTTACAATTTTACAAAGTTGCAATGTGAATTGCTACTATGTTAAAAAGTCTAGCCACTGGGGGAGGGGAGATTGAGGAAATGCTTCCTTCTGCCTGCGGCATACTTATGACATTATCTCAGCTTAAATAAAGTCACCTAAAGGAACTCTACAGCTGCTTTTTGATGAAAAATATACAATTTATTTTCTTTTTAATTAGACTGTTGATCTATTATATATTGTGACATTTCAGGAATTTATTTATGCAGACTTGTAAAATTACTGAAAGATCCTCTTTGAAATCCTGGTGTGCAGTTGAGGAGACTTGCCTGTACTTCCTGTCCTAGAGGCACAACAGGAAGTAAGAGGAAATCTCTTTAAAGCATCATTTACCAACTGTTCTTCAGTCAAAGCACTCTTTAAAACTCTGCACAACCTCGGGGCACCCCATATGAAAATGTCGAAAACTAAACAAAGAGTTCTACATATTGCAGCAGCATCTACACATGTAGAACAACCAACACTGGAGGTGATGTATTTTTACAAAGCAAATAAACGTTTGCACACTGGTACTGACTAGTATTCCAATGTTTCTCTACTCCTTCAGTTTCTCTTTCTCACTCAGCAAATGTGACCCCAATGTTGATGGGAAGCAGGGAAAAGCAAACAAGGATGCTGTGCTAGTTCCTGATGTCCTCATCAAGTGATGATGTCATTGGTTGTTAGGATGCCAGCGGCTGACCCTCGCGGTGTTCAAGGTTGTAATGCTGCACAATAAAAACCTGTGGATTTGTTTAATAAAATGGCAGACTTGATCTACTTGCTGACTTGTTGGCAATTTTGGGAAATTGTCAGGCATTTTTCCAGTGCACCCCAAGGATCCACAGCACCTTCGTTGAAAAAGTCACCGAAACAGGAATCCCATTTATACATGCCTCCTCACCTCCCACTGTAAAATGTTGGATCTTTTAAAATATTTTATCCCCATTGCAAACAGAGAGGTCAAATTTCACAAAATAAAAAAGTCTGAAGTTTAGATACACTTTAAGTAATAGCCCACTGTGCCCAAAATTAAACACAGTCCAATTTTGCTTCCCACAGTTTTGTATGGCGGCTGTCTTTTCGTGTGCCAGTAAAATGAATGTTAAACTCTAATGCCTCCTGTTATGTCTTTAATATTGTTATTGCTGCTATGTTATAGCCAGCTATTACCATGAGTGTATTAGAGGGCTTTATAGCCCGGCCGTGTATAGTGCCGCACTGCAGCTTATGAAATAACATCGGGAAAAAAAATCAGATTTGGTCTCGGAAGTCTACATTATGGTTGGCACATATGAAGATGCCATAGACCTGAACTATTACATTGGATGATCTACGATTGGTCTTGTGAGATTGATGTCTGTAAATGATAGCAGGCAAATAATAAAGACGTATAAATAATGCATTTTTGGCAGTTAAAGTAGCATTTTATGAAGCGATGTACTTGTAAAAATGAAATGTGCAAATGTTCTGCTTTTCTATAACAGCTAAGATCTTAGATTTCTCATGAGCTTTTGCAGAAAAAAAAGTAAACACATTTAACATCATATTCTCCATTTGACACTTGCCTGCCATAATAATGGAAACCCACTGGCCGTTTAAAGAGTCCTATGATACAAGATTAATAAATAGAGCATTGTCACTACAGCTAAATGTATTGCCACTCCTATACATAACTGTTATCAAAAAGAAATGTAACATTCAACCCGTTTCACTCTATGGTCAAATGATAAGATGAAAATTATAACACCAAACAACACATGACTATTTTGAGCCAACCAGGAGCCTTTGTGGGATACTGGGATTTTTTTTTTCTAAGCAAAGAAAATGTTTACAAGTATAATAAACAGATTATGTATCGGTTGATGAATATATAAATACTTATATAAGATACAGGCATGTAAAATTGCAAATATAGATAAAAGCTGGTGTAAATGTATCTGAACATTTTTATTTAGATGCAGTACAATGTAACAGGGTAATTTTAATGCAGACTTCCACTGCAGGTCATAGTTGCCTTCCATTTGGTCCCACACTGCTCTGTTTAGCTGTGAAAGAGAAAGGAAAGCTGCTATGGACACAAGGCCCACTGGCCAAATCCGGCCTGCAAGGCGATTTTATGTGGCCCTCGTACCTCTCCTGCAGCTGTGGCACTGCCCTCATCCGTGCCCCCACCTTATATCAGCAGTCAGCTCCTCCTCTGGTCCTCCTCCAGACCCTGCACTTTCTGCTTCCAAGCTCCATCCCTAGCTTCTTCCTGGAAGCATCACAAGGTAAGGAGGGTGCACTGTGATGTAAGGAAGGGTGGGGTAATCTTGATTTTGGATGGTGGGGGAACTCTTAACATTTGATGTAAAGGCAGGTGGATTGCTCTGGACATCTAGTCTTGCAGATACAACTGGTCCTTTGAGGGCAACCATAATGCTGATGTGACCCACGTTGAAACTGAGTTTGACACCCTTGTCCTTTATGATGATGATTATTCCCCCAGTGCTTTCCAATGGAACTGTTAGGGATCCGGGTATGACCAGAAATGTGTGGGAACACAGGCATAGTCAGGGCTGGAGAGGTGGAATGGTCAGGCAGGCCGTTAGGAACTGTACAGGGTGCGGGGTCTAAGTCTCAATCTGCTTATTCACCAGGGCCCCTGATGGTGGGGATGGACTTGGAGCAGCCTGAGACCAGGTCGCGACCCCTGAGTACGTCCGGCAATGGTAAAGGGCGTCATCAGAGGTGTGCGGGGAAAGGAGCCTGATGTGAAGAGGCTGGCAGACCTGGTAACAGGGACAGATCCGTGCGGGATAGATGGATGGATGGTCTGGGTAGCGTCAGGCGTAGTCAGGCAGGCCAGGTCAGCAACGTGTGGGCAGCGAGGTACCGGAGGAGCAGGCAGAGAATAGTCAGGGTCACAAGCCGGGTTCAGTAACTCATGAGCAGCGCGGTACAGAGGATCAGGCAGAAGGATGGTCAGGCAAGCCAGGGGTTAAACAGGAGACGGTCAGCAGAGGTCAGGATCAAAGCAGGGTCAGCAACTAAGCAGATAGGCAGGAACACAGGATACCAAGTACAGGGGCTCATGGGAAACAATACACCAAGGCACTGACTGAAGGTCTGGCCATTCCTTAAATACACCTCCTGCACTCAGCCTCAGGTGATGGCTGACTGCAGGAGTGAGCTTCTGGTTGCTGAGAGCACCCGCTGGCCAGCCCTGGTACTGCAGCCCACACGACAGGTGAGTCCCACCACCAGTGGTGAATCCATTCCTGACAGGAACTAATCATGTTCTCCTCTATACCTGGTATTTCCTTTGGTGGAGAAAGGTAAGTTTATGCTGCTTGTGAGGAGTGAATGGGAGCAAATTTGTCTCTTTACCTTGAATGGCCAAAGGTTTTATTTAAGATAGCAGCTTGGTAAACGTTATAGAGCTGGAGCCTGTTACAGAAGCCATACCTAGCTAA